AAATGGCATCAGGTACCCTTCACACAGTTGTTTCCTTAAGATCTGGGAATAAGTGTTTAAGAAGTTTAATATTTCCAAAATATTCCTTTATTTTCAGTTGTGTCTGCTTCACGATTACCCCTCTGAGCTATGTTTTGGACAACTGTAAGTCTCAACATGTCTGCAAGTATTTTCATGTATTCCCTATTTTTTCCACAATCACCAGATGAGCTTCATTAACGTGGTCCGCTACTGTTTTCTCAGAAAGCTTTGATTCTAAATATGCATTATATTTGCACACGTTGTTCAAATGTGCATCAAACTGCTTGTGTTTGAGAAATTTATTGTTTTTTCGAGATTCACCCGTGCACTTTTTGCACCTATTGAATCACTCAGACACAAAAGTTTCCTCATCTTGATATTTAGCGCCTGTAGTAAAATGACAACAGACAAAACAGTAAACTTTGTAAGTAGATGCGGAATTTTCAAGCCAATTCAGGTATGAAATTTCGTCCACGAGTCGTTGTAAAGCAGAAGGGTTCATTAAGACTAGGTCGAATTGGTCCATTGTCGGCCATTTGGGACATGTCAGCTGGACCATCTACTCCAAGAGTCGGGCTAAGCAGAGAGGATTTTCCACTGCTGCTACTCGGTGTAATTCTACAACGCTAGCGAGTTCGCCCAATATATCTTCATGTTTTTGATCAGAAGTATTCACACTGCCTCTTTGGTTCAATAGTCTATCATCTGTCGGGGCTTCAGGTACGACTATTTCATCTTCAGTCTTTCGGCGCTTCTTGCTTAGTCCACTTGTCTCCTTGATAGATTCACCTTCCTGGAATCCTGTGACTTACACGGGTTTTTGTAAAAAATTTTGCTATCCATTTTCTCAATAGCAAGAATTGTTATGTCTACACGTGTATGCAGAACACCAACTTCATGTAACAATTAACAACTGTAAAATGTATCGTTTAAAGATACCCGTGACCTCGCAATAAATACTGAGGCGCAAAGTAAAAGCATCGAAGATAGCTTGCTACACAACAAGCCCGTGCTTGTCACAACTGCTTACTGCAAAACCGATCTGAATACCCTATTCATTAACGTTACTGAGAAAGGCAGGGCTAGGTCTTTAGTAGGGGTATTATAATATTGTCATCGCTCAGGCAACACATAATACTTGTAGCCTTCAATTTTAATTAGTTACAAGAGCTATAAAATAAAAAAATCAGACCCATCTGGCAACGCCTACCTGTGAATCCTCCCTTTCAGAATTTGCCAATAGTTTCATCTGACTTTTAATCCTATATTGTGTATAACCAATAGAAAACTAAGGGTACCGCCTTTGAAATGGCATATTATTCTACTTTCCTTCTCAATAGAGAATGTGCAGTTTTGGTTTCAGTTTTACGGGAAACATATCGACCAGCATTGCTTAATTTCTAACGACGTTTGTGGCATAGTTAGAAAATCAGAAAAATTGCGATAGTTACCGAACGTATTATGCTTTTTGCATGTTATTATTCTGTGTTGTTTCGAGCATTATTTAATCAAATAAATAATTATTTAGTGCAGTAGTAGTTTCGTATGGTGTTTCTCACACCTCCAAATTCTATTGGAGGTGTGTATCCGGGAGTAGGACTAGCGTCCTAGTCCGGACACCGGGTGAGCATGTTGTGGTGTGACGGGGATTCGAACCCGCGACCTGCAGATATTTAGTGCAGTAGTACCATTAGTATAAAAAGTAGGGTTAAATGGAATACCTGTTATTGTAGGACATATATCTGGTTGACTTCTGGCATACAAGAAACAAAAATCTCGATAACGGTAGTGCGCGTGCAAACGTGTTTCCTTGTTATACACATTACATTTGCTCAATGTATGTAGGTTTAAATTGGGGAGGGGGGAAGAAAAAAAATTTGAGTGGGCAAATGCCCTCCTGTAGCACCGCCACTGTCTCAAGGTCACGGGACGTCTAATAGTTGGGCGCCAGTTTTTATTACGTTAATTTCTAATTTATTAACTCGAAGTGTGATTATGTAATTTTTAAATAATTTCTTCGACTCGAATTCGAACCAGAGACCTCTCATTCATAAGGTGAACATTATACAAACCAAGCTAAAGAATCAAAAATTTGCCAGTACCTGCTTCCCACCAACACATTTTACAACAAAACAAAAGCAGAAAAGGAAATCTGTGCACATTCCTAGATGCCCAGTTTAGTGCTTTTATTGAAACACACCAGGGTTGTATATTTGACTAAAATTTTTACATCACAACGTTAATCGAGTCAAGCATCTAAACACTCACAACATATCGGTATTACAAATTTTCTAGGTTTATTGCGATGTTTGTATGGCTCGTGTTTAATAAAATAGGTATACATTCTATATTACAGCGCAGAAGTAGTATTTGTATGTATTGATAATAAAATCTGAAAAAATTAGCCGAGCTCTACTAATAATTAACCATGTTCCGAAATAGATTCACTAATGATATTCCAAAGTACGCCTTATCTGATGATTTGTTTGTTTTTAAGTACAAAGCTACACAATGGGTTCTGTGCTGTGCCCACCACGAGTATCGAAACCCGGTTTTATCATTCTAAGCCTGTAGACTTTCCGTTGAATTATTGGGGTGGGGGGATGAGATAGAACAAAGCCTCAGTGGGCTATCTGCTGTGTCAACTAAGGGGAATACAACTCCGTACTTTAGCGCTGTAAGTCCGTAAACTTACCACTGTCCCATCGGGAGACCTATCTGATGAAGAAAAGTCCACTTCCTGAAAGCACTCTGTTTATTTGTTATTTTTTCTGATTTTTCCGAAATAAATTGTTAATAGCAGCTTATCTTGTCGAAAATTGAATTGTTTGAAAATATTAGTAATGGATACCACACCGTTTCCACTTCAGTTGTTGCTGGACAGGCCATTTTTGAAAAGATGCTCAAGCTTTTACAACAAAAGTAGAATTACCGTAGTTACTATATCAGCTGTACAAATTTTGTACCTTTATATAAATCAATGACAAAACTTTATATAAAATGATAAAACCCTATAACCCGAGCGCTTTCGAAAGGTGGACCTTTCTTCTTCAGGAGTAAACTGGTCCACCTTTCAAAAGCGCTCGGATTATAGGGTTTTATCATTTTATATAAAGTTTTGTCATTGATTTATATAAAGGTACAAAATTTGTACAGCTGATATAGTAACTACGGTAATTCT